CACAGGCAGGCCTGGCAGCGGCTCAGCTGGTTGGAGTGTTGTCCCATACACCCAGAAGGTTGCGGGGTTCAATCCCTGGTCAGGGGGGTACAGGAGACAGCCGATCAATGTTTCTCTCTCTCTCTCTCTCTCTCTCTCAAAAAAAAAGCCCACAGTGAGGATTTAAAAAAAGAATATATCACGTGTGTTTTTAACCACAGGAGCCCCTCTTTCCTTTAGACACGGTTAGCCTTTTGTTTGCAGATCTGTGCTGCCCTGTGGGCTAGGAGAGCAGGCAGCCAGGAGGAGCCAGAAGAGCAGGTGGGGCCAGCCAGCAAGTTACGCACCCACCAGACGGCCAAGAAGGTGGGTCTGGCCAGGGGGCTGCCTGGCCGGGGAGATCCTGGCACGTGAAGGGGAAGGCAGGGCTAGGATGGCCTCCTCGGCCGTAACTCGAGGTCCTTTCTCAGCCGACGGTGCTGCTGTGTGGTCTCCGCCCCATTGTTCCCACCCCTCTCACAATCTTACTTTACAACAAGCCTCGCCGAGTTATTTTTCACAAAGGGAGCCGTTAATATTTAGTGATTGCAGCCCTGGGTCGGGGGGCTGCCAGGAAAGGACTGCACTGTGGGGCGAGCTCAGCTGGAAGGGGAAGCAACGCAGCTGGCTGACTTGCAGCTGTGATGTGAACAAGAGGCCGGAGGGGGGGTCCGGGGGGCGGGGGTGCGGAGCTGGGACAAGCGGCCCAGGAGACCGTGGGCAGCACAGCTCCGGAGGACACAGTAGAGCGGCCCCATCAGAGCCTGTGCCGAGCAGAACAAACGGAGAGGTTTTCACTCAGAGGAGAACTGTCCTCTGCACGTGGACCAAGGACAACGACAGTGCAGACATGATCCACTCGGTTCAAACCTGAGGAACTCGTTCTTTCTATCATAGGTCAGTCAGGCGGTGAGAGCTAAGTCGGACCAGGGCTAAATCCCAGATCGCTGACCACAAACTCCCTCTCAGTGTTTCCGTTGCTCCGATCCTTCCGCCAACTTGCTCCACAGCCTTGAACGAGCCACCTCCGCATTTTCCGGGACATTTGCCTCGGTTGTCGTTGGTTCCTAGCTGTCCTAGGACCCTGTGAGCTCAATTATCCGGCCTAATTATTTACTAGTATAAAGGGCTTGCTGAGGTATCGTCTTCCAGAGGACACGCCGGGTGAGAGTCGAGAGCCTGGGCCCACCCCTGCTCTGATGGTGGGTGGCTGTGTCCCCCGCAGATCCCAGGCCCCCGTCTCCTCACCTGCCTGGTGGGGACAGGAATCCGCTTCCCAACAACTCCCACGGCGGCAGCCACGTGGAATGGGAAGAGGGGATGTGAGTCCCACCTCACGGGGCCACAGTCTCACAGGGAGACGTGAGAACATAGACAGTGAAGACGTGGGTCCCGCAGAAGCCCAGGCTATGCTTGGCCCTGAGGGACACTAGGACTCCCCCCGTCCCCGCCCTCGCCCCAACACCAGGGCCTGGGAAGTCCCCTCTCCATCCGGCTTCTTCAACACATATCGTCCTTATGGCCAACGGCTTTGGGCCAAACATGAAAGTCAACTTCTTTTTAGTTTCCTTATGAGACTGTATTCTCACAAGAGCATCCGTGAATGTATTAACTCAAAAAGAGGACCTTCTGTGGAGACATGTCCTTCCTCCACAGTCTTTCCTGTTCGCCAAGCAGCAGGGGCTGCCCTGTCTCTGGCTCCCCCTTCTCACCCTCCCAGACCCGTGCCCCTCTTCACGAGGGTCCAGGCAGCCACGGCGTCAATGGTGTCAACGGCATCCACTCTCCTTGGACCAGTTTTATTAGTAATTTAGCCACTTCTGTTTTGTTCTGTTAAATCCCGCCGCTCTGCTCAGGGTGGTACCTGAGCCTGGTTTCCATTCGGGAACCAGGAAAACCCTTTGCAAACAGTTCCAGGACCTCCATTAACGTGTAATCTATTCCTTTACGAAGCGAGATAAGAGCACACACCCACTTCAAACGTCCTTTTAAAGAAGAATAATCATAAAACATTTACACAGGGCTCAGATTTTCACAGAACTCACCACTTCTCACAGAATGGAATATTCGTTTTCTCCTAAAAGCTGGAAACCTATTAATTTTAAGACCTACTTATTAATGCTGCTGTGCTTGCTAAGCCTGGCAATCTCTCAATGGGACTCTCCTCCTCCAATGCCTGGAGTGCTAATCATGACATTCTCTGGATTGTGGCATTACTGTTAATTATTTTGTTCTTTTTTATACTTTTCTCCCCCTCTACCTTTTATTTTTTTTTAAATCCTCACCTGAGGATATTTTTCCATTGATTTTAGAGAGAATGTCAAGAGAGGGGGGAAGAGAGAAACATCGATTGGTTGCCTCCCACGCAAGCCCAGACCAGGGCCTGGGCCAGGGAGGGGCCTGCAACCAAGGTACGTGCGTACCCTTGACCCGAATCAAACCCGGGACCCTTCAGTCCACAGGCCGGCGCTCCATCCACTGAGCAAACCCGGCCAGGGCTCCCTCCCTTACCTTTTAAAGACAATTGCCCTTGACTGTGTTTATAATCAAAACAGAAAAGTGATTTCGAGCTTATGGAATACGGTCACCAGCTCCAAGTGAGCATTTCTGCCCGGGACCTCACTCTAGCTGAGAGGTGAGCATATGGTGGCCTCGTGGGGAGAAGGAGGTGCTATCCCCAGACCCTTCCTCTCCATGGCCACCGGGTTGCTATAATTTAACATGCAGCCCTGCCCACCCTTTCCCGCCCTCTCCATCCCCAGAGACGGTGGGACAGTTGTTCACTCCGCCACAGGCCAATGAGCACAGCCTCCCAGCCTCCTCCTCCACTAGCCCCAGCTTACTTGTCCTTCAGGCCAAGCAGGGACCAGCTTCCTCGGGAACTGTGTCTCTAAGCTGGATCCAGGCCCTCCCCGCACCCCTCAGGACTCTGCCTGCGTCCCACTCTCCCGAGGGAGGGTCCTGTCTCTCTGGTTCATGGTAGATTCCTAGTGCCTCGCGGGGTGTCAGTGAGCATCCAAGGCACTATTGACAAGTTAATCTGGGCCCAAGCAGGGTAGCTCCGTGGGTTAGAGTATCATCCTGATACACCAAGGTTGCTGGTTCGATCCCCGACAGGGCACATACAGGAATCAACCAATGAATGCATGAATAAGTGAAACAGCAAATCCATCTCTCTCTCTCTCTCTCTCTCTCTCTCTCTCTCTCTCTCTCTCATCAATAAATTTTAAAAAATTAATCAGGAATTTTCATTGGTTTTCACTTTATATTGGAAAGACCCATCAAAACGCTAAACAATTAACTGAAAAATATGTAAGTGCTTTGAAAATTATGAAGTTCTGTTAAGAAGCCTGTGTCATGATGAGGCAGTGGCTTTGGTGAGTTATTGCCATTTTCTCTCTCCTTTTCCAGCACCAATAGGTAGAGCATCGTTTACTTCATCCTATAAAGGGCTGCTCACTAATCATCATCATCATCATCATCATCATCTATATGTATAAAAGCCTAAGCAATTGTTATGACCAGTTGACCAGTTGCTATGGTGTGCACTGACCACCAGGGGGCAGGTGCTCAGGACAGGAACTGCCCCCTGGTGGTCAGTGCACTACCACAGCCAACCTCCCGTGGCTGGCCAACCTCCCCCAGTCCTTCCCCCAAGCCAACCAGCCCCTATTGGCCCAGGTAGCCAGCCAGTCCGAGGGACCCCACCCATGCACGAATTTGTGCACTAGGCCTCTAGTAATAATCCTATCTAATATTAGACAAACATGGTAATTAACCGTACCTCCAACATGCTTCCCATTGGCTAATCAGGGTGATATGCAAATTAACTGCCAACCAAGATGGCGGCCGGCAGCCAGGCAGCTGAAGCAAACAGGAGGCTTGCTTGCTCCAGTGATGAAGGAAGCCAAGGTTCCCTGCCTGCCGCTGCCGGCCTCTGAGCTGCACTCTAAGAAACAATGTTGCAATTATAGAAGCTAAACAAACCCCAGAAACCTGCTTTCAGCCAGCCGGGCCACAGACCTGGAGCTGCAACAGTGTTTCAATTATAGAAGCCAAACAAACCCAGATACCTGCTTTCAGCAGCCGAGGTCTCAGAGCTGGAGCCGAGCCTCAGAGCTAAAGCCGGCTCTCAGTTCCAGTGACAGCCATAGAAGGTAAATAAATCCCAGAATAAAAAAGAAAAAGAAAAAAAGGAGAGGTTGGGAGCTTCAGTCACCCGCCAGCCTGAAAACGGCCCTCAGCCCCTCACCCAGACTGGCCAGGCACCCCAGTGGGGACCCCCACCCTGAAGGGGGTGCGACCAGATGCAAACAGCCATCAGCCCCTCACCCAGGCTGGCCAGGCACCCAAGCGGGACCCCCACCCTGATCCAGGACACCCTTCAGGGCAAACCAGCCGGCCCCCACCCGTGCAACAGGCCTCTATCCTATATAGTAAAAGGGTAACTTGAAAACTGACCCTAACAGCAGAAGGACTGGGAA